GCACGGAGCCTGCTGAGCAGTTTGTCCAGAAGGATGAGCTTTCCACTGCTCCTGATTAAAGACTAAGAAGACAAGATTGAGCATGAAGTGGTAGTTCCAAATCTGATGGAGCAAAGTTGACTGAGCAACTCAGCATCATGACGGTCTTAGTAGAATTAACAGAAGTAACAATGAAAATGAATGCAAAGAGGTTCTAATTCTTGTTGTTCTAATTCTAATTCCTTGTTCTAATTCTCCTTGCCCATCAGCTCGGTAGATTAACTTAGGCAACTTATATCTGTTTCCTGGCAATAACCAATTTTTATAGACCATCTTCCACAATCTACCCCCACCCTCCAATTGAGTAGTTATGTTGGTTGGAGAGACCAGAAGTCCTACTTCAATATATTCGATATGTTCAGGTAAGAAAAAGTTGACTTTCAGGCTAGATCTCAAGTTCCTGTGAGATCACCTGAAGCCTTTGATATATTTGGGAGCCTTATACAATGTTAAGCATCAGAGCTTTTTAATCTATTCCTCAATTTTACAATTCTTCTCCAGAGCATCATGCTTAGCCGTACAACCAACTAACAGTATTATGAGTTCCCTCTCTGACTAAATCCTTAATTTCTTCATTAAGATTCAGGCTTTAGCCATACGTGAGAAAAGATCCACAAAACAGTCTCAAAATAGCAGCAGGAAGTTTGCAAGATTCAGACCTGCCAGGTGTTGCAAATGTAGCTTTACAATAAAGTAGAATTAGCTCATCTAGTTGAGTTTCCTGTCTGATTTATCTGGAAAGGGCTGACGTTACCAGAAGTCTTCCCCCAAGGTCTACCCACCTGCAGCCTCTCCTGGTTGTTTTCCTTCTCATTCTCTTCTGGAGGTTTGATCAGGTAACAGTGATTGCAACATTTCTTCAGCTCCATCACGATGTTCAGGAAGCCAGAAGTGCTGCCACGTGTTCCCTTGGACAGGGCTTTGTAATTCCTTGTTAAAATCCATCTGAAGAGTTAGCAGGTAACAAGCATCAGTTTTTCAGCCCCTCTAGTGGCTTCAAGAAAGCAAGCCAGCACATACAGAATACAGAATAACAGAGTTGGAAGGGACCTTGGAGGTCTTCTAGTCCAGTGGTCGCCAACCAGTGGGCCAGGGACTACTGGTGGTCCGCGAGAAAATTTTGGTGGTCTGCAGAGAAATGTCACCCTCAAAGCACCTCCCAAAGCAATCCATTCAGGCTGCACAGGAACACAAGGCTGCGCTGCCCACATGGCTTGCAGGAACACAAGGCTTGTGTCGCTTGCATTGTGAACAACACAAGGTAGTGAGGGGAGGAAAGGTGGAGGGGGGGGAACTTGCCCCACGCGCCTGGCCCGGCCACTGGGCTGCTTCTTTCCGCTTCTTCTTCTGCTTTTGGCTGCATGCATGGAAAGCAGCAAAAGTCTTTCTTTCTCCCCCCGCAAACTCTGCGAGAAATGAGTCTTTGGGACCCTGCGAGGCCTTCTGCTCCAAGAGGCTGCATTGGCATGACAAGTCTCACAAAGATTCATTTCTGGAGGAATTTGGGGGAGAGAAAGAAAGACTTCTGCTGCTTCTCCTGCTTTCCTTGCATGAAGCCAAAAATATCTCTTCCCCCCCTCCCGAGAACGGAGCTGTAGACGGAATCCTGCGGTCCCAAATAAAGAATGATCGATTGGTAGGAAAACGGGGTGGAGAATCTTCCTGCAGATTTTGGGGATTTTCCCAGGGTCTCTGGTCCGCGGGATTTAAAATTATGAGTTTGGTGGCCCCTGAGGTCCAAAAGGTTGGCCAACCTCCTGCTCGAACAGGGGACCCTATACAGGTAGTCCTCAAGTTACAACAGTTCATTTAGTGACCGTTTGAAGTTATAACGATACTAAAAAAAGTAATTTATGACTGTTTTTCACACTTATGATCGTTACAGTATCCCTGTGGTCAAAATTCAGATGTTTGGTAACTGGCCTGTATTTATGACGGTTGCGGTGTCCCTAGGTCATGTAGTTACCTTTTGTGACCTTCTGACAAGCGAAGTCAATGGAGATTCACTTAACAACTGGGTTACTAAGTTATCGACTGCAGTGATTCACTTAATAGCTTGAGGCAATAAAGGTCGTATAATGGGGGCAAAATTCATTTAACACTTGTCTCGCTTAGCAACTGAAATGTTGGGCTCCATTGTGGTCCTAAGTCCAGGACTACCTGTACCATTCTGGAAAAACAGCTGTCCAATCTCTTCTTAAAAACCTCCACTGAAGGAGCACCCTGAACTTCTGGAGACAAGCATCCTAGAGGCCTACAAGCTGTGGTGGTGCAGTGGTTAGAGTGCAGTACTGCAGGCTACTTCTGCTGCCTGCCGGCTGCCTGCAAATTTGGCAGTTCGAATCGCACCAGGCTCAAGGTTGACTCATCCTTCCATGGTGGGTAAAATGAGGACCCAGATTGTTGGGGACAAGAGGTTGACTCTGTAAACCTCTTAGAGAGGGCTGTAAAGCACTGTGAAATGGTTTTTAAGTCTAAGTGCTATTGATCTTCCTTCCTTCCTCCCTTCCTCCTTCCCTCCCTCCCTTAATTCAATTTCTCATTCTCCTTCCTGGTGGCTCAGTGTTTAGAATGCAGCATTGCAGACTAATTCTGCCAACTGCCACCAGTTCGAATCTCACCAGGCTGAAGGTTGACTCAGCCTTCCATCCTTCCAAGGTGAGTAAAATGAGGACCCAGATTGTTGGGGGCAATAGGCTGACTCTGTAAATCGCTTAGAGAGGGCTGGAAAGCACTATAAAGTGGTAAATAAGTCTACGTGCTATTGCTATTAAGCCTGGAAATGCAACTGGGGGCGCTGACAGAATGTGGCAACTTGGAATAAATAGCATGACGGCTCTGAGTAAGTTGCAGGGTTGAACCAAGAGGCAGCCAACGGCCTGCTTGAAGTCAGAGTCATTCTCAGTTACTCCTCATCTCTTAGCCCAGACACCTTGCAGGGTTCTTGTTGAGACAAAACAAGAGGGACTCTGTCACCATCTACCTCACCTTGAGAACCTCTCTCAGTAGGAGGAGGATGTGAATACAGTTGAAACAAGTTCGATCTTGGTTACAAAATCATTCCAACTACACCATTGCCTCCTACATTTGCTTCGCCTGGAGTGCTTTTCTACCATACAATGAACGCTTTGCTTCTGAGCTAAGGCCAGGCTGCATCCTTGTTAATTATTCAAATCTGAATGCTGTCCACTTTAAGACATTGTGTTCATTGACTGTACTCGCTCAATCAGCCTTCGTTTTTAATTTATGTAGGTTTATGGGGAGGGGAGAACTTCAATTATCACCCCACAAGGGGCCTTGTTGTGTGACTCGTGATGGCCAATTCGAACGAAATCCAGCTCAGAATGGCAGGCGCCTGCAGGGTTGCTACAGGAGACTTCCCAAAGTCTCCAATGTTGCATTTAGACTAGGGAAGAGGATCACTTGGAATCTGATTTGACTGGAGACCAGCAGACGGATGTTGGGCAACCTCTTCCTGTGTGCAGAAACCCAAGCACCATTCTAGTTTGACTTCCTTCCTGAGAAAAGTTATCTTGTGGTACCCATGCTGAGTATTTCTGCCCCACCACCAGAAGAACCCTTACTTGTAATACTGCTTCTGGAGGGCAGACATCTCCACCCGCAGGATCTGCTCTACTTTGGCTGGGAGGGATTTTTCCACGTCCTTCTTCACCCTGCGCAGGAGAAAGGGCTCCAGGACCTTATGCAGGCACTGGTACCCGTTCTCTCGTCCTTTGCCGTGGTCCTCTTCAAAGTCTTCCCAGGATTCGAACCTGACAGCCACAGACAAGACAAGGAGGTGGGGGGGGGGGAGGGAGGAAGAAAGAGAGAGGAAGGGAGAGAGAGAGAGAGAGAGAGAGAGAGAGAGAGAGGGAAAGAATGAGAAACACTCAGGCCCACCTCCAAAGCCAATTTTGCAGATTAAAAAAGGGCCTTATCTAAGCATTATCTAGTCCATTCTTCCTTTCTACTGGCAAGGTAGGCACAAGCATACAGGCAGCCTCTTTTATTTCTATGGAGATTCTCAGTCATCCAGGTCAGGGCTGTCCCAAAAGTGTTTTTTCAAAAGGCAACTGGACTTTATTACCTTTTGAAAAAAGCACCTTTGGGGCCTCATGCATATCCCTGTTTAATTTTCACATAGGAGGCAGCCCAGCTCCTTAGAGACTCTGGGAAGCATTTTGACATTAAAAAGAGGAAAATTATAAAAAAAAATATAATTATAAAAAAATAAAACAAGAAAAAACATTGTATTTTCAGAAGAGAGACAATAAAACTAACAAAATTCTACAAGGGAATCCTACACATTTCATTAAAAGCTTTCACCAACTGCATAATGCTTCTGTGAATGCTTCCTGTTATCTAATAAAATTTATTATTGAAAAAAGTGCTATCAGATTCCTGGCTCTTTTTTTTTTTTTTTTTTGCCACAATAGATTAACAGATACAGAACTTTTTTAAGAAATAAGTTTGCATTAGGCTTGCATTGATAATTTTGTACAATAACTTGGGCTTCTAAATATATCTTGCTCTAAAGGCCACTTTAAGTTTTGAGTTTCATTTACTTTCGCAGTTGCACCCTGTTGTGGCTAAAGAGCTACTTCCCAACTCAACTTACTTCTCTGGCATGATGAATTGCAGCAGGGACCACAGTTCCTTCAGGGAATTCTGAAGCGGTGTCCCAGTGATGAGCAGGCGGTGGTTGGACTTGAAGTCAATCAGTGTCTTGTAGAGCAAAGAATCGTCATTCTTCAAGCGGTGGGCTTCATCCACTCCTAGGAAGGCCCAGTTGATGCTTCCCAAAACGGCCTACAGAAGAAAAACTAGATGGGGCACACAGCAATAACACAGAACCACTTTAGGGAAGTCCTTTTACATCTGCTCTGGAAAACTTACACCTGTGTCCCAAGCGGGACAGGTTGCAATCTACAGAATAACAGAGTTGGGAGAGATCTTGGGGGCCTTCTAAGTGCAACCTCCAGCTCAAAGCAAGAGATTCTATACCATTCGGGACAAATGGCTGTCCAGCCTCTTTTTAAAAACCTCCAGGGTTGGAGCACCCACAACTTCTGGAAGCAAGCCATTCCACTGGTTAATTGTTCACACTGTCAGGAAGTTTCTGCTTAGTTCTAGGTTGTTTCTCTCCTCGATTTATTTCCATCTATTGCTTCTTGTCCTGCCTTCTGGTACTTTGGAAAATAGGTTGACCCCCCCCCCCCCTCTTCTTTGTGGCAACCCCTCAAACACTGCTATCATGTCTTCCCTACTCCTTCTTTTCACTAAACTAGACACTAGACAAGAATACCCTACCTCCAGATATTTCCCATCAAGAAGCTGCATAGAAGAAGGAGCATCCCAAATGTGAACCCAACATGGCCGCTTACTGCTTCACAAGGTTTTTAGTGAAGAAGTTATGTGGAAATATTCCTTCCTATATCAAGGATATAGAAAATTCAGCCCCCTCCCCCTATAAAGGTCTGTGGTTCCCAATCTCCACTACCACTCTGTCTACATAACAGTCCTTGGACCTTGGAATAAGTGTTGAAGACAGACCCACATCTTCCCATGAAGTACAGTTGGACAACACACTAAAGTGTGGGGCAGAATTAAAGCAGGTTGAAGATAGCTTAGAAAGCAAAAGGTGGTCAAACACCTTAAGAGCAAATACGATGCAGACATTGCTCATATTAGTTCTTTGAATTCATGGTATTTTGATCACAGTCCTTTGCACCTTAATGCTCCCAAAAACATTCCTGGGTAGCAGAATACTGGGAGAAGAAAGCCCCACAAAGGAATGGATGAGTTCTCCAGAAGCAGCTCATCCACTATGAGAATCTTAGGACTTTCTGAAGGGAAAGGAAGGACTTTCCCAAATCTTCACCTCCAATAGTAGCCATCCTTTCAGAGGCACAATAGCTAGGGCAGACAAAGGAAAGAAGATGGCAAGGGTTCCTCTTCCCTCTAAGTAGAAACTGCCTTGGCCCATCACTCACCTTGTCTTTCAGGAGGATCTCATAGGTTGTAATCAGCACATTGAACTTCAACCGTTTGGTCTGAGAATGGATCCACTCATACTCACGGATCTGAAGTAAAATGAATAAATAAATGGGTTGGTTTGGCAATTTGAAGATATGTGGATTTCATCCCCCAAAATTTCCCCAGCCAGCAGATGATACCACCTACTCATCCAACAGCTCTTTTTTTCATGCAAAAGCCTGTCTCTAGGCCAAAATGAAATTTGATTTTAGTTCAGCAATAGCGCTTAGACTTATATGCCGCTCCATGGTGCTTTTACAGCCCTCTCTAAGAGGGTTACAGAGTCAGCCTTTTGCCCCCAACAATCTGGGTCCTCATTTTACCGACCTCGGAAGGATGGAAGGCCGAGTCAACTTTGAGCCCGTCAGGATCGAACTGCTGGCAGTCGGCAGAATTAGCCTGCAATACTGCATCCTAACACCGCACCATAATGGCTCTTATCCTGTCCTGGGAAAGCTGTCAGCTATAATCTATTCAACAGGGTTAAACAAATAATGGATCTAAGCATCCAGGCAAATTTGGGCACGGTTCTGCATGCCAGCTATCCATTTGGGCACGGTTCTGCATGCCAGCTACCCAACACGTGAGAAGATGGCCTCTAGGTTGCTGAAGCATTTCCATGCCCAATATTCAGATAAACCTAACTAATTGTTTATATTTCTCTTCTATCTTCCAGGTGTTCTCTTTCTTCTAGGGGGGGCAGCATGTCAGGTCCCCATAGATCCCCAACGGGATGCTGCTATTCTGATAGGGAAGGCCTGAATGCCAGTTTACAACTTTTTCCTATTTCTGGTCCTTCCTTTACTTTGAGGTACCTTCCTGGGAATGTGAGGGAGGAGGGAATAGCCTGTGGCCATCTTGTCTCAGCTCCGAGGAACCGAGCAAATGGCGTCTGAGAACAGCTTATCACCTTCTCAGCTTGAGGTTCTCATAACAACATTGCACCTCTGGATTGGCTCACCTCTGGACTGGCCAAAGGAGGGGTTTCTACAACTTTTAACCTAACAGTTTTGAGCGGGAATTTCAGATCATGCCTTGATTTTCTTACTATCACTGTCTCCCAATAATGGCACTTTCATTTCTGTGTCGTACACCCTGTAGCTCACCCCACAGAGCTGTAGAAAAAGAGAAATGTGTTGTCCTAGTCCCATTCAACCCCTTCCTCGATGCTAGTTTACGCACAGCATTCCTGCTCAGCTGATCTCCAATGTACACAACCACGTTGACCTCAGGGGCCCAGATCTCAAACTCCCTCTGCCATGAGGTTAGGGTTGACAAAGGCACCACAATCATAAAGGGGCCATAGAGCTGGTGCTGGTAGAAGAGGTAGCAGAGGAAAGAAATGGTCTGGATGGTCTTCCCCAAGCCCATCTCGTCCGCCAGGATGACACTGTTGTTCCTGAGGAAGCAGACAAGGAAAGGGGTCAAGCCAGCATAGTCATGTCAATGAGCTCCCTTTTTCCTTCTCCCTTTCAATTCTGGAGAACATCTGGAGGCAGACAGATATTCCCCAATGCCTTCCATTGAGGATCTGTTTCCCGCATGAACCAGAAAGAGGGTTGAGAAAATATTTACAGACCCCCTGACATCCTGGACATAAACTATTTCAACTTCTCCCCTCAGGACACTGCTATAGAGCATTGCATGCCAAAACAACCAGACATAAAGATAGTTTTTTCCCCCCTTCTTGTGCTATCACTCTGCTGGAAATTCCCCACAACACTGTCTCACTTCTCATCTTTTCTCATCTTCTTGTCTTTCCTACTATCTTCTCCTATTGGTTTCTTATGATTTTATCAATTGTTGTTTGTAATTTGTGATTAATGATTGTAATTATGATTTATAACCCAGGACCTATTATTTGCTGTTTATATGAACACTGTGAACTAATGCACCAGAGACAAATTCCTTGTGTGTGCAATCACATTTGGCCAATAAAAAAAAACCTATTCTACTCTATCCTATCCTATTCCTATTCCATTTCCTATTCTTATTTCTATCCTATTCTAATTCTGTGCTACTCTACTCTCAGTCTTTCTTGTCATTTGGACCTAAAAAAGTCATTTTTTGTTTTTGTGTCCATTTATTTTGAGAGCCAGGAAAGTCTACGGAGTAGTCTGGCTGCCAACAGTTGCTAGTTCATTTAGTTCATGCTGTCACGTCATCCCAGGGTGCACCATGAGGAGGTAAACTACCTTCACACAATTCTGAAAATGATATGCACCTCACACGGTGCCTGCCAGGACTCATTGCATAAGATGGGGCTCTGTATCCTCCCCTTAGTGTGACTGGGGAGTCCCACACCAAACTGTAGGTGTTGCATCATGATCAGAGGTAAACTGAGGGCATATATCGTTCCAGTATCCGATTTGTTTTCATATAAATGATGCTGCACCTCAATGGTTAGATGGCGTAGAGAAGACATTGATATCTGAATGTGGACATTTTTAGTATTTATATTATATTGTGTTTTATTAACCTACTTGCCTCCCAAAAGTTGTAGGCACTCCAGTATTAAAGGTTTTACAAGAATAGATTGAACAACCATTTGTCTGAAATGGTACAGGGTTTTCCTGCCTGAGCAAAGGGATGGACTAGAAGACCTTCAAGGTCCCTTCCAACTAGGGTGAAATGTTCATATATGTTGCAAATCCATGGATGATACGTCATATGCTAAATATAGAAATAACCACCTGAGCCCATTGGTAAGAGACACCGCTTCAGATCAAGGGAGGAGCATCAAAAATCTCTTTCTGGACTATGTTTTTTGGAGCAGGGATAAGAAGCACCTGCCCTCACTTACTTGCACCAGGAATGAGCCAACCAATTCAAGCCCTCCAGCTGATAGTCACGGAGTTCCAGATTCTCCCCACCAATGTAGGAAGGTTGGTTCTTCAAGGCCACAAAACGAGGCCTTTGCTTCAGCACCTAAGAGAAAGACATCCATCATTCTCCCAGCTTCACAGACCTGCTGCTGCTCTGGAGAATTACAGCTGGCCCTCAATTTATGACCACAGTGCCATTGTAACTTCAAACAGTCACTAAGTGAAGTGTTGTAAATCAACAGTTGCATGCAACCGACCTGTGTTATCTGGTTGTATTCTTTTAAGGAGACGGAGACATGCTTCTATATGGTCATTATATGATTGCTACAACAAGAAGTCTAAAAGTGGCCCAGGACTTTTGCACAGTATTGTAAACCTTGTAAATATACAACACATGGCCAAACTACCCCATCTTTAGTTTGCAAGAACATAGAACTTTATGATATGGAGCAAGGGAGGGAGAATCTGCAAACGGAAGCTAATTTTCCTTCTAAAAAGCACAATATTTATTTTAATGGAGTAAGGTCCTGAATTTAAAAGAATCTCTCCCCAGCATGGAAAATTGGGCACAAAAACACTGATCTGCCTTCATGACTTGATGTCAGAACACTATTTCAAAGATAAATCATCTAGGAGGGAGAAAAAACCCTTAATTTGCATTCAGTACTGCGTTTTTTTTTTGGGGGGGGGGGGGGGGCTCCAATCATGCAGCTGCTATATGCCTCAATTGCTGTGAACTCTGTATTTTGGGGAAGCAGCGCCGCCCCCTGACCAAGAGGAGAATATAAGTAATGGGAGAACTAGTTCTTTTTTCCCTTGTGCTCTGACTCTGCTGAACACCTAATTCTCACAGGGTGGTCTAATGTATTTATTCATGTAGTATGGCGGTAGTATTATTATTTAATCCTTCTTAATATCTTCTTATCGGTATCATTAGGATGATGATGATGATTCTGTTGCTTTGAACGTACACCAAGTGCTTCTGCAACGGAGACAAATTCCTCGTGTGTCTAATCACACTTGGCTAAATAAACAATTCAATTCACTTTACACAGAGGCCAAAATGGGAAGAGCAATCTAAGGGGTTGCCATAAAGAGGAGGGAGTCAACTTATTCTCCAAACCACCTGAAAGCAAGACAAGAAACAATGGATGGAAACTAAGCAGGGAGAGAACCAACTTAGAAGTAAGCAGGGATATCCTTAGCAGTTACAATAATTAATCAGTGGAACAGCCTGCCTCCAGAAGTTGTAAATGCTCCAACACTGGAGGTTTTAAAGAAGAAAGTGGATAACCATTTGTCTGAAATGCTATAGGGCTTCCTGCCTAAGCGGGGGGGGGGGTTGGACTAGAAGACCTCCAAGGTCCCTTCCAACTCTGTTTTTCCATTAGACTAACCTTGCAGTCCCGAGTAGGCATGGCTTTGGAGTTGTTCCTATTGTTGAAGCTATCAATACAGTACTGGAATTTTTTGCTGATCAGAGCTTCATCTTCCCAGCTACATTCTGCGTAGGGAAGTCCCATCCACTTGCAAAGGTACTCTGGCTCATTGGAGGAGGACTTGCGGTTGTGAACTGCAAATTTTGGGGCAGGGGGCAGAGTGGGGAGGGATGAAGAAATACATGATAAGAGCCCTGCCATATCCTCAATGGGCATGACGGAAATATCCTACCCATGGATATTTGAGTAAAATACGTGACTGAGTATTGCAATCAGACATCTCTACCAATCCATATAATTAAACAAAAGCACGTAAATCAGTAAAACGAGTCACCTTACCTGGAAATTCAGTTCCAGGATTTGGCGATTTGTTTGTTTTCACCGCTGCGCATGAAACGAGAAAACAACATTCATAACTGTAATGATTAAATTAATTATTTAATCAATACGTTGCTTTTATTATATTTTTGTATAACAATTAATTCAAGGCGGCAAACGTATCTAATGCTTCTTCTTCCATCCTATTTCCCCCACAAAAATAACCCTGAAAGGGGAGATTGACTGGGTCAGGCCTGCCATCTTCAGCTTGGCACCTTGCTGGCGTCCTGCCATTAAAGGCTAGGAGGGAGGGGAGGGACATGGGAGGGGGAACAAACGGGCAATCTGTCAACCCGGAAGTGGATCCGGCTGAGGCCATCTTGGAGGCTTCAGGGTTGCCACACAACAGAGTGAGGGAGAAATAGTTAGATGGGGTTATGTAGCCACGCAATAAAGTCTTCCTGTGGGAACCAAGGACATTCTCACAGGTGGATGGCCAGAGAAATAGTGAAGTAACCAAGCAACCAGCCAGCACCAATGACCAGTGACTTGGGGGAAAGGGGAAACTTTTAATTAAGTGAAAGCCGCAGGAACTTTGCTTTCACCAGTTGGGCCAATATGATGCATCCAATAAAATTGTTCTTTGAGGACTTTGCCTGCCTGAGAGTCCTGCTTTCTATGGATGCATTACTTGGAATTCTGACACAATCAACCAACAGGTGTACGTGATGGGGAATCGGGAAATGGGAATGACAGCTCCATGAAGAGCAGGAGAGCTCGGAACCAGTTGGTGCCAGCCCCCAAGGCCGTGTACCCCGAGAAAGAATGTGATTTACCCTGAAACATTTCAGCGTTCTCAAAACAAAACTCAAAAATTTCGATGCAATTGGTTGTAAAAGGAACACACAAAAAAAGACACGACAATTCGTGAGTGCTTTTTGTAAAGATATGAATAAGGAAAGGTGTTTCCAGGAAGCATGTATTAAGCATATCTTTTTAAACGTAACTAAATCTTAGCTACCTCTGGAACAAATTTAGGATTTTTGCCTAAATTAGATAAACTGCCTTAGGTTAATCTTTAGCACTGGATACTCTCATTGCCAGGTGTCTATTAAGCTGCTAGCCTGGGTTTATGGGAATTGTAGTCCTAAAGGATCTCAGTAGACAGTCAAAACTGTTCCTTCTCAGAACTTGTAAAGTTTTGACCACATATCCTGATGTGGAAGACTACAACTCTCACAATATTTGGGAGTTGCCAATACCTAGCAAGCTCTCTGCATCCCTGGAGCTAATCTTGTTAAGCCAGTTTTTTAAGGAAACACTTTTTAAAAGAGAAGGGAATGTGCTGCAGAGCAAATTACAAGTTTTAATGTGTTTTCAAGAATGGCTCTGGGCCCCGAGGTGTTCTTAGAAAATTACAAGCGGTGGCTGGTCTTTTCTTAAAAGTGCAGTCAGCTGCCCAGGAAACCCCAAAATAGCAGCAGGAAAACCAGCACGAGTGGCAGATGCCATCGGGCAAGGTGGATGCATCCTGTTATTATGCAAACAATGCTCAGATGTCATGATACAAGTACGCAACTGCATTGGTTGCTTGTTGTTGTGGTTTGTTATGGGTGCCCATCTCTCCAGGTGAATGGCCAGGACTGGAACCACACATTTTAAGTGCCACATTACAATTAGTCTACCAAACTTCCAGGGTGGCCCTTTTTTATAATTCTCAATATGCCCACAATGCCAACAAGATTGCCTACAGGCAGTTCTTGACTTCTGACCACAACTGAGCTTCTAATTTACATTGATAAGACAGGTGTTAATTGAATTCTGTTTACATTTTACAAGCTTTCTTGCCATAGGTGTAAAGTGAATCACTGCAGAATACAGCCGTTAAGTGAATCTGGCTTCCCCATTGACTTTGCTGGTCAGAAGGTCACAAAATGCCACGTGACCCTGGGATGCTGCAACCATCATAAATATGACTCAGTGAAAGGTTGTAAGTCAAGGACTCCCTTTCTGGGGGGTTTTTTCTCCTGCTTTCATTCATTCTCGGAAAAAAAAAATCTTTCAAAAGTTTTGGCCACCACAATGTAAAAAAGATGTTGAGATTCTGGATAGAGTTCAGAGAAGAGCAGCAAGGATGATTAGGGGACTGAAGACTAAAACATATGAAGAAAGGTTGCAGGAACTGGATATGTCCAGTCTGATGAAAAGGAACACTAGAGGAGACAGGACAGCAGTGTTCCAATATCTCAGGGGCTGTCCCAAAGAAGAGGGAGTCAAGCTATTCTCCAAAGCACCTGAGGTCAGGACAAGAAGCAATGGGTGGAAACTAATCAAGGAGAGAAGAACTAAGGAGAAATTTCCTGACAATTAGAACAATTAATCAGTGCAACAACTTGCCTCCAGAAATGGTGAATGCTCCAACACTGAAAGTTTTTAAAAAGATGTTGGATAACCATTTGTCTGAAGTGGTGTAGGGTCTCCTGCCTAGGCATGGGGTTGGACTAGAAGACCTCCAAGGTCCCTTCCAACTCTGCTATTCTATTCTAAAAGAAAATCCCATCAGCTTCAGAAGCCTTAAATGCCCTTTGTTTTCAGCCATACAAGACATGTCTTCCCAAAATATAGATGAAGGGGCCGTGGCTGTCGTTCTGCTGAGCTAACACATCGCAAGCTGACAGCCTGACTTTAATAATGGGGGGAGGGGGCAATGGGGGTAGGGATGCAGGAAGGGAATCAGGAGGAATCAAAACCAAGCCATCCTGTGGGAAGCACCAGCCATCTTAAGGTTACACTAAAAGAATGCGGACAGGCTCCGTTTCCCAAACAATTTGTTAATACTTAATTGGACAATGACTGATAATAGCAATAGCATTTATATACTGCTTTACGGTGCTTTACATCCCTCTCTAAGCAGTTTACAGAATCAGCCTATTGCCCCCAACACTCTGGGTCCTCATTTTACCCACCTCGGAAGGATGGAAGGCTGAATCAACCTTGAACCTGGTGAGATTCGATCTGCCAAATGGCAGGTAGCCGGCTACAGCAGAAGTAGCTTGCGGTACTGCACTCTAACCACTGCGCCACCAAGGCTCTTAAACAGGGGGGTTGGCCAGGAACCAGGGAAAGTTAACTATATTTTTTTGCGCGTGGAAATCTCAGATCCAGCTTTGCCTCTTCCGTAACCACTTTGGCTTTTAGTAAAGTATATTTTGGCTAATCAGGGGGCCAGGAGTCTTTCTTTTCCATTGACCAAGTTGGGAAAGTTGACAGAAGGATTCAACCAGAAACATGTGGGATGTATTTCTGCTTCAGCCCCGATGGCCTGATTCTTTTTTGACCCCAAACTCACCAATCACTCTTTCCACAATCTGGTACTGTTTGTTCAACTCAGCTGCCAGTTCCTGTTGGCAGTTGAAATACTCTACGTCTTCTGGGGTGACCTTTTCCAACCTGGGTATAAAAATAAAAAGAACAAATCAGGTGGTGTTTTTTTTTTGCAACCAGCGTGTTAAAAACTATTCTGCTCTTACTATTGCACCAAACTTTTGGAAGTGGGGCTCATGAACCCTCTTATGAAAATTCAGCTTTCTTAAATTGTTTACAAAATATGAGTGTCTTGATGTTCACTGAAAAGATAGGACTTTAAAAAAAAGTTCAAAAACTAGTTTTTAGAAAAGTAAAAATGACTGGAATTTTCTGGAATTGAGGCCAGGTGGAATAGCCATATAAAACTTTGTGGATGTTATCTGAAAAAGTGGTTGCAGCCAGTTTCAAAGCCACTTGACTCCACATAGGAAAGGCTTCTCTATACTTGGCAACCTAGAAAAATCTAGTTTCCAAATGTCCACTTTAGGAGCAGAAATCAGGATCCTGAGTACTACAGAGACACAAAGACTTAACCCCTTTCAGACATGAAACTGTGCAACAGGTTTAGCCAATTTCTAACAATATGGGAAAGACACCATTTACTTATCTTGGAGTGTTCAGGGTCTGCAGGCAGTATTTTTTGCAACAAACTTGAGAGGTCTTTTTGTTTTAAATCCATCTCATTGGAGTGTTTCTATCTAATCTGGTGGGGATCCATCAGTTTTTAATACAGGTAGTCCACAATTTACAACTGTTCATGTAATGACCATTCAAAGCTACAACATCACTTAAAAAAAAGTGACCTACAACCATTTTTCACACTTACGACTGTTTGTATCATCCTCATGGCCAGTCACATGAATCAAAACAGTTGGGCAACTGGCTCAGATTTAGGATGGTCCCAGTGTCCTGGGATTATGTGATCCCCTTTTGTGACTTTCTGACCAGCAAAGTCAATGGGTAAACCATTCACTTAACAAACATGAAGCTAACAACTCCTGCCATGATTCACTTAACAAGTGTGGCAAGAAAAGTCAAAAGGGGGGGGGGGGCAAAACTCACTTAACAAAGGTCTCACTTAGCAACATACATTTTGGGCTCAATTGTGGTCGTACGTTGAAGACTACTCGTAATCAGATGGGTTCAAAATGCTTCTTGAGCCACAATAATAAAAAAAAAGCTCGGGAAGCACAGATCAATCTATGTCATGCCCCTGTCGGAATCTGATTCAGAGGGGGAGGCCGAGCAGCTGACAGAGAGTGGGAATGTGGCTCCGTTGGCTATGGAAGAAATTGGGGAAGGGCAAAGCCCGGCTGGGCAGAGCAGGGGAGAGGTAGAGCAAGGGAGAGGGAATTCAGAGGAAGACCCAGGCCCACCCCCTCTTCATCCTAGGGCATGCAGGGAAGAACAGAGAAGGGAGCAATGTGAGTTGAGTGGCTTACGGGGGAGGAAAGAGCCTTGATCCCCTTCATTAGCTGCAGTTGGGAACACAGTGTTTAAAAAGGGAAGCTGCGCGCAGTGAGCTGTTGGGAGCCGATTGTGAGTTATCTGTTATTGTCGAGGCTTATCTGGGTTCCTAGCATCTTCCAAACTCTGTGTGTTTTGTTGGCCTTTGAAGTCTGCAATTCCTTATCCTGCCCTGTCCAGTTAATTGCTGCAGCGTGGTTTGTGTGGATTTTTATTTACAATTTGTATGTACTTTGTTTTCGGACTGAATTTCCTCCATTTAAAGGCTGTTCTTGGGAGAGTTTTTTTCCCCAGCTGAAGGTAACTGGACATTGGGGGCAAAGTTGGAGGTATTAAAGGGACTTTTCTTATTTATGTAACTGTGTTGCCTTTGTGCCATGCCCCAGGTCATCACAATCTAGGAACTCTCATTTTCCATATAGGAAGCCCATAATTTTAATCCACGTTCTTAGCAGGCCAGAAGAAAGAAAAGCCTACCAACTGTTGATGTCTTCTTCTTTCTTCTTGAAGTTCTCCAGCTTCTTGATGCCTTTCACTTTCTGCTGCTGCAAGGAGTCCTCGCTTTCCCATGTGCTGTGGATGTATGACCAACCTTTCCATTTAACCAAGTACTGCACTTCCCCTTCCTCCTTTTCTGGGTCAAAATCGGCACTGGGATCACCGTTGGCTTCCATTGAGTAGACAGTGGTGGAGGCCCCAGTGGCTGCCGAAAGAACAGAAGTGAAAGTAGGTCAAATTTTGCAAAATGGTCTTGGGCCCTTTGCCCCCCTGGAGGGTTTCCATAAGTTTAGCTGCGCTCACTTCTAAACAATTCTATTTCATTTCCCCTACTAAAAAGTGGGCCAGCACTTAGCACTCCTTGAAAATGTTCTACTTTTGACTGTGAGAGTCGTGGTGGCACAGTGGTTAGAATGTGGAACTGCAGGCTATTTCTGCCGACTGCCGACTGCCAGCAGTTTGATTCTCACCGGTTCAAGGTTGACTCAGCCTTCCATCCTTCCTAGGGCTATAAAATGAGAAGCCAGACTGTTGGGGGGCAATTTGCTGATTCTGTAAACTGCTTAGAGAGGCCTGGAAAGCGCTGTGAAGCGGTTTATAAGTCTAAGTGCTACTGCTATTGTTTTTGCTCTCAGTTTTTGTTGCACTTCTCCATGGCTCTGGGAGCTTTCCCAAATAGGCCTATCCCAGAACGAAAAAGCCAGGTCCTTTTCAACCCTTAAAAGTCCTGTTCAGAGAATTGGCTTAAATGATCAATTGGGTGTCATGGTAAAGTCTACAGACCTAATGGCATTATTATACTGGCAAAGCTCTCCCACTCTACCCTCGATTTAGTCTGCACTCAGAGGTCTTTATAAAGTAAAAAAAATAATAATCAGTTTGCCTTGTTCAAGGGAACCTTCCCTTTTGCAATACAAAGCTAGTTTTACAAAGCCTTGTGTGCTGCGATAAAGCAGTCATCCCTAAGATGAAATCTCCAAATATAATATGCCCCTAACTCACAAATTTTACAAGCTGTACCAATAAAGGAGAATATTTGTAGTTCAGAGCTGAGATGAGGGGTCCTTGGTGCTATCTGAGCTTGGTGGTTTTTCTTGCAGACATTTCATTAACATCATCAGTGCTGGGAGGGAGGCTTGTAGTGGAGGAGGAGGAGGAGGAGGAGGACAATGACTGTGAGGTCCTTGGTTCCCTCTGAGCTTGGCGGTTTCCTTGCAGACGTTTCCTTACCCCAATTGAGAAACGCTCATTACTAGTTTGAGTAATGAAACGTCTACAAGAAAAGAACCAAGCTCAGAGAGCACCAAAGACCCGTTTGCAAGCTGTGTTTGCAGAGTCAGGCATTCTAGAAGCAAAGGTGTTATGGCTGGAAGGATCCAATTTGGAGAAAGCTGCTTTTAACTGGGTGCCTAGGACCATGGCTAGGAATAACTGAATCCGAGGAATATCTTTATTTATTTTTATTTATTTATTGATTGATTTGATTTGCCAATTGTTTACAAGATAATAAGTATAAGTGTATACATAGTTGTGAATACATGAAATGGGTACATATAAGAAAAATAAAAGAAGAATAAGAGAAACAATAGGACAGGGACGGTAGGCACGTTGGTGCGCTTATGCACGCCCCCTACAGACCTCTTAGGAAAGGGGTGAGGTCAATAGTAGACAGTCTAAGGTTAAAGTTTTTGGGGTTTGGGGAAGAAACTACAGAGTCGGGTAGAGTATTCCAGACATTGACCACTCTATTGCTGAAGTCATATTTCCTGCAATCAAGTTTGGTGCGGTTAACATTGAGTTTGTATCTATTGTGTGCTCTTGTGTTGTTATGGTTGAAGCTGAAGTATTCATTGACAGGTAGGACATTGCAATGTATGATTTTATTTACCATGCTTATACCATGCTTCTTCTTGCACTCACCTCCTTTCTTGCCTATTCTCTTCTCCAGCACTTTCTCAATGGTTTCGCTGTTATTTTGCTGCTCCTCTGCCCCTTCACCTGTCATCTCAATCAAGTCGTCTGAATCGGTCTCAAAGTCATCGTCTTCCTTGTAACTGTGTACAAGACCGTGCACAAGGACAGTTCAGGGTTATCCTTCTGCCGAATGGGTTCACCATGTAAATAAGAGCGGGTTCCCCCCCCCCAACCGTTACAACCTCCAGATAGGTGGACTTCAAGATGTGTCACCAATAGCTATTTTAACACTGGAGTTCTGGGATTTGAAGTCCACCCATCTGGAAATGGCTAAGACTGGGAAACAATAAGCCAAAGAAATGTTATTCACAAGATAAAGTCACTACCTGACTTTAACATCTCCAAGCCTCTCTTGGCTCAAAGGCAAAATTCTTGGTGGTAAGATGGCATAACAGTGGAATAGTCTAGCGAAGTTGTGGATTCAACTGAAAGCGAACAACAACTTCTCATGGATGGTTTAATTGGCTTTCCTGCCCATTGTAGAGGATTGGATTAGATCAGTACTTTTCAACCTTGGCAATTTAAAGATGACTGGACTTCGATTCTCAGAATTCTCCAGCCAGCTCCAGGACATTGCATAATCTGGGTTGACATACTAAGGTAAGCTATGGTTTGCTCATTGATGGCTTGGTTAAATAAACCATAATGACCTAGGCTCACATATTAATTTAAGGCATAATCAGGTTAGTTCATGTGATGTATGATGGCTGGGTTCTGACAAACAAACCACCCCATGTTGGCTGAGGGTGTGTGAACCCAGCTTCTAGGTTTTTCTGCCACTACCTGACATTTTTGGCTGCTCGGCGCTTAGTTTGCCTTTTGGGAGTCTCATCCTCCTCCTCCTCCTCCTCTTCCTCTGATGATTCGGTTTTCCTCCGCCTCTTCGGCCGTTGCGGTTTGCTGCTCCTTTTTGGGATGGATTTGGTCGCTGCTCTGAAATGAAACAATGATACAATAGTAGTAATAGTGGAAGTAGCAATAGCACTTAAGACTTATATACTGCTTCACAGTTCTTTACAGCCCTCTCTAAGCAGTTTACAGAGTCAGCATCTTGCCCCCAACAATCTGGGTCCTCATTTTATCAACCTCGGAAAGATGGAAGGCTTGAGCCAGTCAGGGTCAAACTGCTGGCAGTCAGCAGAATTAGCCTGCAATACTGCATTCTAACCACTGCACCACCACAGCTCAGTGGTTGTAATAGCAGTTGAGCATTCTTCAACACCAGACCAGGAAATCAACACCACCAAAGAAGAAAATCAACACCATAGAAGTCTACTTATTATAATTAGGCTTCTTCTGTTCAGTCATGTCTGACTCTAGGGCAGAGGTGGGCAAACTTTTTGGCTCAGGGGCCTCATTGACTTTTAAAATTTGACAGACGGGCCGCCACCTGGTGTCGAAATGCCTGTCATTACAAGTCAAAATCAAATGAATGCAATCATTCAATCATTCACATTAAATCATTCACATCATTGGCACATTCTGTACCAATCTTCGGCGGGCCGGATTAAAAAGACCAACGGGCCGGATGTGGCCCGCGGGCCATAGTTTGCCCACCCCTGCTCTAGGGGGTGATGCTCATCTCCATTTCTTAGCTGAGGGAGCCAGCATTGTCCACATTTCCATCATCATGTAGCCAGCATGGCTATATGCCAAAGGCGCACAGAATGCTGTTACTTTCCCACCGAAGTGGTACCTATTAATCTACTTGCATTTGCTTGCTTTCAAACTGCTAGGTTAGCAGGAGCTGGGCAAATAAAGGGAACTCACCCTGATTGTGCAGTGCTGGGGTCTCAAACCTGGGCTGCCAGCTTTCCAACTGACAATCACAGCATCTTTCACTTCTGAGCCAGTTATTGAGACTGGCTCTAATAACAGAATATTACAGGTCTGATGGTGCTGGACCCTCTCCTCCTTCTTATACTCCAGTGAATTCAGGAAGTCTATACCTCAGCCACTTCCAAATTCTATCTCACTGTTTTGTACTTTAAAAAAAAAAAGTTTCCACACTTTTTGCTAGGCAGTGATTCCTGCATATTTCAACCAAGGTCATCTTCTTTAACTCTTGCTCCGTCCTAGAAACTTTTGCCCATTCTTCTGTCTTCCCACTAGGCAAAGCTTCCAACATTGCACTCAGAATACTGACTCACAATGAAAGGATGGAAGGACAAGGTCTAGAGTGGGGGAAAATAAGAGGAACTGCAAGGAAGGCAGCACCCGTTTTCTCACCTTCTTGAACTAAGTCTTCTGGACCTCACTTGCTTCACTTCTTGTTCACTCTCTCCACTGGAGCCTTGATCTTCAACATCATCTTCATCATCATCCCTAGATCCCTCCCTTTTCCATTTACCTCTGTGTCTATAAAAGTTGATAAGGAATGTGTCATGAACATCATTATGCTCCACGATTATGGTTGCTTTTACATGCCAACTAATGCCCCCTCCCCCCAAAAAAACATAAGGAAGCCTTTAGGTACGCAGAATATTCATCTAATGTTAAGACAATTAAGTTATTAACTAGGGCTGTGCAGAAATACATTCATAAAGAATGCCCAACCTCCTTAAAGTAGCTGCATCTTTCTTCGAGATGATGCGGCTGCCCTTTGTGGCAACCTGCGATTTCAAGAAAGGACAAGGCTGCTTTAAAGAGCTCCAAAGCACCATTGAGAAAGCCCCCACTTAGCTCTGTTATTATCAATGATATCTGTTCAATTAACAGTAACAAAAGCAAAAAGTTCAACTACATTCCCACAATCTGAGTTACTCAAAAGGCCCCCTAATTAATACTCCTGGCAATGGAATGTTCTTTTAAGTACAAAAAGAACCATGAGGTGTCTCATAGCTAGGGTACCATTGTAGTTTCCACTAAGACTGAGGCTATTAGGAGAGGAGAGTCCACAAGCCACATCAGTCATCCGAGGAACTTCTCAACTTTGGCACCTTGAAGATGTGTGGACTTCACAAGCTGGCTGGGAGTTTTCTGGAAGCTGAAATCCTTGTGTCCTGAAGCTACCAAGGTTGAGAAATGTTGGTCTAAAGCAGCCCGGTGATGGGGAAGTAGCCTTTAGCAGATGGAAGAGTTTTGTTTTCTTCTTAGGAAAGGAAATGCAGGTGGCTGGGCAAATATCCACTCTTCCCTCTCCATGGAAGAGTTCCAGAAAAGGAAGGAATATGTCCCTTTCTTGTACCAATCTATCAAGCATCTTGCCAGAAGACAAGAGGACAAACATCAGTATATGTGTGTGCGTGCAAGTGTGGTGTGTTTTATGCAGGTTTCTCTCTCTTGTGTGTGAAATTTTACTACTAACCTGCCTTTCATCGAGGACCTGTATACTGCACAAGTCAAAAAGAGGACTGTGAAAATATCTACAGACCCCTCACATCCTGGACATAAATTGTTTCAACTTCTACCCTCAAAACGATGCTATAGGGCACTGCACACCAGAACAACTAGACACAAGGACAGTTTTTCCCCTGAATGCCATCACTCTGCTAAACAACTAACTCCCACAACACTGTCAATTTACTTAGTAAGACTGTATTACTATTCTTCTTCTCATCCTTCCTATTATCTATCTCTTCCCACTTATGACTATAACCATGTTGCTTGTATCTTTACAATTTATATTGCTTTATTCGTTCCCTAGTATGATTTGATTGCTTATTAGTAACCTATGACTAACAATAAGTATTGTATCTTATGATTCTTGATGAATGTATTTTATTTTTTCTTTATGTACACTGAGAGCTCCTGCACCAAAGACAAATTCCTTGTATGTCCAATCACACTTGGCCAATAAAGAATTCTATTCTGTTCTATTCTATAATAGGGTAAATTGTACAAATGCGTATTGGGAGAAGGACAAGATTTCTCCAAGTCAAACTCAATGAAGACTTCACAGAGGCCTCCAAGTAATTTCCTAGGCAGTGTTACAGAAGTAGCTCCCTGCCTCCCTTGTTTCTAGTTTTAATATCCCAGCCAAATGCATAACAACTTTGGGGTTTTGCGTTGGTTTCCCTTCTAAGGATACAAGATCAGTCAAGTTCTGCTAAAGTTGCCCCCTCCTGGAAGAGGAAGGGCAGACCATACAGTGTAGTCCTCGACTCACAACAGTTCATTTACTGACCCTTCCAAGGTTACAATGGCACTGAAAAAAGTAACTTCTGACCATTTTTCACATGACCGTTGAGTCATCCCCACGGCCATGTCACCAAAATTCAGGCACTTGGCAACTGGTTCACATTTGTAACAGTTGCATTGTCACGGGTCATGGGATCCCTTTTTGTGACCATATGACAAGCAAAGTCAATGGGGAAGCTAGACTCACTTAATGACTGTGTTACTAGCTTAAGGGCTGCAGTGATATTGCACCCTATGACTATCATTAAGTGTTGCACCTTATGATTCTTGACTCTTGATGAATGTGTCTTTTCTTTTATGTACACTGAGACCATTTGCACCAAGACAAATTCCTTGTGTGTCCAATCACACTTGGCTAATAAAGAATTCTATTCTATTTTATAAGAATTCTATTCACTGAAGAAGCTTCTTGGATGAGAAGCAAAATGTCTTCAAAACAACAACAACAACCCCAGTTGCCTCTTGAAAAAAAAAAAAGAGCACCTTTGGGTCCTTCTATCCTCTGTTATTTCTTTATTCGTCTGATTTACAATGATTTTTTTTTTTTGCATCTAACTCCTTTAGGGTGGCTTCCAGATCAACAGTGTACAAAAAATTGACCTTTTTTTTATTTTTATAAACAGAACAGCAATCTTTTTCCAGGATCTTTGTTTGAAATCCGGCAACCCCCTCACAGCCAGTATGACCACTGATCAGGCTCTGAGATTACGGGATGTAGAAATTCCACCTGGTGGGTTGAGGAAAGCTATTCTAATACTTTGAAAATACAACGTGCGGAATCCAGGATGGAGAGGGTTGCAGCTAACATTCCATAACCATCAACTACAGATAGTCCTCAACTTACAACCGTTCATTTAGTGACTGCTTGAAGTTACCATGGCACTGAAAAAAAGTGACTAGGTTTTCTCCCCCCCCCCCTACACGCGTGTTACAGTCTCCCCTCGCTCAAGTGATAAAAATTTAGACACCCGGCACCAGTGGTGGTATTCTACCGGTTCGGCCCGGTTCTGGCGAGCCGGTAGCAACGATGAGCAACGATGAGCATAACCGAACCGGTTATCTCCACCACTGTGCTGTTGGGCCCACCCACCCGCCTGGGCTCCCATACTCACCTTTATCCACTGAATTTGAAGCGCGGCTGCATTGCACGGCACAGGAGAGTGCGACGCGGCAGCTGCTGAAGTGACCGGGATCATGCAGGAAGCGAGTTAGAATGCCTCTGTGCCTGCACAAAGTGCATGTTTGGTGCACGTGTGCACACAAAGTGTGTGCACGTGTGCAAAGTGTCCCCATCAAGCCACGCCCCCCCCCCAAACTGGTGGCAAAAATATTTGAATCCCACCACTTAACCGGTCCATATTTATGACAAGTTGCCGCGTCTCCCCGGGGTCACGCGATCCCCTTTTGCGACCTTCTCACAAGCAAAGTCAACGGGGGAAGCCAGATTCCCTTAACAACCATTTTCACTAACTTAACTCTTGAGGCGATTCACCGAATCGCCGTGGTCATAAAGTGGGGGCGAAGCTCAACTCAACGGCTGCCTCGCTGAGCAACAGGAATGTCGGGTTGTAAGTTGAGGGTTACCCGTACAGACGTGAGAATCCTTTCAAACAATGGAAAACTAAATTTGTTGCAGAAACAAGGCAGAGTCCTCGTAACTTACATTTTTCTCACTTGCCTTGAACTTCTTCGTTTGGGACTCTCACTTTCAGACTCGCTATGCCCCTTGAACGGAAACAGAGAAGGAGGGAGAGAGAGGGAAGGAGCAATAAGAGAGGCTGCTGGTTGATGGCTACATATTTTGCTCGCAAATATTCTTGATATCCATATGAGAGGTGTAGTGGCCTAGAGGTGGAGCTCTTGCCTCACAATCAGGAGACTGTGAGTTCGATCCTAGGTAGAGGAAGGTATTTCTCTCTCTGGGCGCAACGAGAATATATCTGATGAACAAAACTCCTCATTGGTGATAGGAAGGGCATCTAGCCAATAAACACTCAGCTCCATCGAGACTCCACCCCACAAGGAAGTTCATTAAAAGATGATGATACTTGGCATCCATAAAGGGTGTTGGGTGTGCCCCAGATTTAAAACCAACACAATCCATAGGGAAACATTTGCTACCACACAGTAAATAAATAGGCAACACCCTTTTTGCCCCACAATCCCAGCAGTTCTGTGGTGTTGTGTTTTGTTTTGCTTGGTTGTTTTTGTTTTTTTTAAAGAACTCTTGTTACATCGTGAACACAAGTGGGCAAAGGTACTTGAAAAGGAAATCCAAACTGAGGACCGAGAGTATCAAAGAACTGCCCAAAAAAAGAAGGAAGAGGACCAGAAGTCAACACTGCCAGCAGCCACACACCCAAGGCTTTACCAGCATTGCAGAAGAGAGGATGCAAGTTGCAAGAAGGGACAATCCTGCTCACCTCTACACGGGCTCCCTCTTAAGGGGAGGATCAGTAATGTGGGGTCCTTGGTGCACTGGTGATGTTACCTAGTTTGGTAATGAAACGTCTGCAAGAAAACAACCAAGCTCAGAGAGCACCAAGGACCCAACAGTTCAACCCTGAGCTACAAATATTCCCTTCTGTCAGTTCAGGTGACTTCCATACCTGGCTTTCAAAGGCACATCATGAGACATATTCCAAAAATTATGAAAGATCAGGAACAATAACAAAAAAAAAATGGGGAAGGGCTGAATGAACCCTTTTAAAATTTCATTTCAATTTCATATCATGCAATTTCAATTTCATACTTTTAAAATATTTTTTTGGTTTATTTGTTTTTTGATTGAATGAAATTGGTAAGCCACTGAGTCTCTCAATTGCAGTGGGTGCAAAAAGGAAAAACAGAGAAAGAGGAGAAGGGGAAGGAAGCCCTTAAAAGACATCTCCTAATTTTTATACAAAATGACTCTTATGCTTACATAGATTCATTAAATCTTCTTAAACAATTAAACTATTAACACATCTTTCTGTTCACTCAATAGTTAGGAAAAAGACAAACTATACACAACAGCTAAATGCCTATAAATCTGGATAACCTTGTCTCTAAGTAATAAATTGCCCTATTGATAAGACAGCTTGTTTTGTGCAAAAAACGGGTGCTCAGAGGCCTGAATGTCAAGAGTGGGATTTGCATAACAACATGAACGTAACCATTCTCACAGGTAACAGGGTAAAAGAGATTCCAAAGATAGACTACTGGTGCTAGACAAAGAAAAATCCGCCACAAAATCTGCTTGAGACTGACACTTGGAAATGGAATCATCAGCAGTTTTCTTTCCTTGTGAGAACAGGGCAACATTATTTAAATTATAGTTGACAAGAGAGTTAAGAAAATGAGCTGCTGTGTTAGATGCAGGAATCCAAGTATATTAGAAACAGGTGAAGAGGATAAGAAGATCTTTGCAGTCAGCAGCTGGACACATCTGTCTCTTTCCAGGATCTTTATGAAACTTTGAAGGTTAATGTGTGTCTCTTGCAAATTTGGAAAATCAACCCCAATTCTTAATGTGCATCCAAACTCTAGAACAGTAATTGGCTCTCCATATCTGAAGTGCTCACTCAAGCACTCTTCTTCGGATCCTTTCCTAAATTGTTACAAGACCCCCTGTCACAAAACCTCTGCATTTCTCTGGCCCATCCTCCACCAATCTAGATGTCACATCTTCCACAGATCCAGGTGAGAGCTTCATTAGAGGAGCCAGATGCTGGCATGGAATTATGGGGGCTCATGGTATCCCTTTTGTAGCTATACAAAAGCTTTGCCTCTCTGGTGCCCACAAGCTTTGAAGAGGACCTCTTTCTGTCCTCCTGGCCATCAGCATCTCTTGTCCTTCAGGGGCAGAAAAACACAGTGCAAGGCACTCATACACCAAGCGTAGCCGTAATGTGGTTTGTTATTTATCTGCTTGGGGAAATGCAAACCCATAACAAGAAAGAAATGGTGTTATGTGTAACGTTTGCACATCATGCTATTCCAGGACTGAGGAATCTGCCCCCAAACCTTCCTTCATCCTACCATGGAGGTCATCTTTTGCACATTTTCCTCCATCAAGGAAAGCATCCAAAGAGTGAATCCAATTTTCTTGGACTGGTGGGCTTCTTCCTGTTTTTGGTTTTTTACTGTAAGTTCAGCTTCCTATTCTGTCCCTTGCTGGAGAAATCCCATCAAAATAAAGTTCTCCAGAAGCTTGCATACATCTTCTCCAACTGGGAAGCTGCAACCTTGTTCTTGGATTGAGAATTATGTATGTCTCTTGATGCAGTGGGCAATAAAGAAGAACCCTGAAGCAACTCAAACATAGGAGCAGAAAAGCTCTTGTGGTGATTGATCCTCCTTCAATTCTCACTTTTTGATATTGTCTGATTCCCCAGCCCAGCTCCCTACCCTGCAATAACCCCAAACACACAAACCAGAATATAAATATTGTGTGATCACAGATAGTGGAAGAAGCACCATGGCAGTTTTAGTGCACTTGATGAAGTTTTCTGGAGAGCCTTCAGGCCCTTCTAGACAATCTTTGCTAGGCTTCGCTTATCCAAACATTCACACCAGCATAAGCCACCAATCCAAAGACAAACCTCAACAAAGAGTTCAATCTTAAACTGTGGTTTAAGATGTTGACTTCTTTGCCCTTTAACATCACATTGTCTCCAGTGAAGTTGAGGAAATGATCTCTTTGTACTCTCAACCTCGTCACAGTGGAACAGAGATATACCTCATAGTTTTTTTTTAAATTTATGTAGCCCTTTTTTGCACAATCCTGCCACAATGTTTTTTATCCTCAAAGCCACATCAGACAAGATAGCAGGAGCTTCTTTGCAAGGTGGAATCATAAGGTGGAAAAGTAAATAGAAAGTAGTAGTTTTGGATACTCATCTGGAGGGAAGTTAAGGGACCTCCTCTTTTTTCATACATGTGTGAGGTGCTGCAGTTATATATATTTGAAAATACATCCACCAGTGGAAAAATATTGCCCAGTAGTCCACTATTAAACAATTGTTAAGGATTCCTAGAAGCACCCTCATTAGATTCCTTAAATAGCCAAAGCAGCATCTACAGACTACAATTTGCATGAGTAAGATCCCATTAATTAAAGCAGACCTCACTGCTGAAGTGAAGGTTGTGCACTGTTCCTTTTTCCATCAGAGTAATCAATCCTTTTCTTTTCAGGTGGAAATATTTTTATTTTTATTTTTACATTATTGTGTGGCATTGCAATGTTTGCTGTGAACCATACACATTGTTTTCTTTCACATAAGGTACAAATAAAGCCATTGCCTGTTGCATTGCCAATAGAAACATCTAGCAGGCAGCAAATCCAATGTTTGCAAAAACCACATAATATTGTAAAACAAAAAAAAATTGGAAAGGATTTATCTGAGCCCCTAATGGGGGCTCTTGTCCTCAGCGGAGATCGGGGTGGGTGGGTATGACATCACCAGCCCAGTGCATGCTGGGCCATTGTGAGAGAGAAAAGAGGGCCATTGAGATTTTGCAGAGCTTGGAAAAAGGAAAACAAAACCCTGTTGTTTAATGACAAAAGAATTCATGGCCCCTTGGATCTGAGTCTTCAGGGGAGTTTTGGTTGGGAGGGGGAAAGAATAGGGACAAGGTAGCCCAGATGGAGCTCTGACCAAATAGTAGACATGGAGGAGAGAGTTGGCTCCACTTGTTCTTTCCCATCTCTAGGAAGATTGGAAGATGAAGGAGACCATGGGCAATACCACTGTTCAAGATGGAAGATCGCACAGGATCATGGGAGAGAAGAGAATAACCAGAGAGAGAATGGAAGGCAGAGCTGGCCTGAGTAGCACAGCTTGCAGGCATGTCCCTTATGCCAGGTTGCTTTGAGAATAAAGAAGCAGATTAAAGGCTACCCTAAACTAAGACAAGTCTCTGTTTCTGTATTATCTCAGATAACCTCACAAGAACTTTCCTACAATGGCACCTACACAGGCCTGGGATCCAGAAGTGTTTATTTAAAAAACGTAACCGTCCCTTAAGCGCCGGTTTCCCAAAGGAAAAAAGAATAGTAACAATTATAATAATGACAACAAGGATTTAAAAACCTCTGAAGATTTCTGTTCTGTAATTTTTTTCAATGTGGTGAATCCAACCTGACCAAAGAGAGTTTAATTTGAAGACAAGACGGGAAGGGCCAAGAGAATCATTATTTTTGATGCAAAATGTTCAAATCTGGGTGCCTTCTGCTAGGCACCTAAATCCATATATAGGCACCCAAGCATAAATGGACCCATTTTTAGAGGACTCCTTAATGGGAGGAGAGGGTGCCGCTTATTTTGCAGGTGCTCGAATATAAATTTAGGTGCCTACCTTTGGACTTCCAACTTTGACATTTTCAGTCTGATTCTGAACTTTCCTGAGCCTCATTTTCTCCATCTGTAAAAAACAGAAGGGAAAACTTGCTTACTTGCTTTGGACATCGGTCGGAGGTGGGAAATATGCACACAAATGGGAGAAAAAAAGAAAGAAAAAGAAAAAAATGCAGGAGAATCAGTCACTCACAAAAACGGCAAAGAAAGGGTGGCCAGTTCCATAATCACAGTGCCCGTAATACGGTTTTGGATGGAAGTGAAGAAAAGAAATGGGTTTTGATGTCTCAGCCATCAGATGAAAACAAAAATTAACCCCCTGAGCTCATCTCATGCATGGATTTCAAGAAAGGATCACATCTATAATATAAAAAAGGAGGCAAAAAGGTTTAACACAAAGGAACAACACAATATATCTATAAACACGCACAGTTTTATCATGCATGCTTTTTAATCATGCCATCTTTCCAGAGTCTCAAAGCAGGGCTGTTCCTGCAACATCTCCTTTTATCTCGCCAGGGTCTGATTGTCCCAAGACTTCAATGGGGATCATATCATTTCCCATTTGGACACACGGAAGGTCCGATGGGCACCTTTTGACCTGGCTTCAGTCGCAGGAACAGCGCTTCAGGACTGCGAAATGCGAACATCAAATAACCACCGAATAACTGGGCTCTTTCATTCCAAGGATGGCTTTTGCTCTTTACGGGCTTCCTCACCCCTTACCTCGTCATTTATAGTAAAACGCGAAGGCTCCTGTCTGCTACGGTTGGATCGTCTCACCCCATAAACATCGGGATATTCTTCCCACATCTGCAAAATAAATCAAGCTGTCTGTCAGGGATCCAAGTAACATACCCATACCAAGCAAAACTCTGAGGCAAGTATATTCCTCAAAGAATAAGTTTATTGGATATATCATATTGGCCCAGGCTGGTGAAAACCGACCCTGAATATTCCTGTGGTTTTCACCTAATTAAAAGTGTTTTTTTTTCACATGGTCCAATCAGGATGCTGTTCAGTTGCTACATGACTCCAGTTCCTTCTTTCCGAGCACCTGGAGGAATGGCCTTGGTTCCCAAGAGAAAGTATTTTGTTTTGACTACAACACTCCAACTATCTATATTCTCCCCTCCCCCTCCCTCTTCTCCAGTGTGTCAGCACTAAAGTCTCAAAATGGCTTCAGTCAGGCCAGCTTCGGGGTTGACACTGGTGTTTGTGTTCCATTAAGAGATACGAAGGGCACTCAGATGAAAACCATCTATTATATTCTCCTGGAAGACTCCAGTGATATAGGTTGGGCTACTTGATTGAACAAGTTGGATGTCAGGTGCAAAGGATGGGGACCATCTGTTAAGTTGCAGCACAGATGATTTATTTAAGCCTGTAAACAAGGATCTAGACTAAATTGTTCAACACTAAATTGGCGACAGATCAATAGAATTCAGGAGGGGTTGAACTTGGACCATTTGTGGGAATGTGATGATTCTAAGCTGATGACGTGCTTAACTACATCCCATAGCTCTGCCTGCTCTTCTCCTAAATTATACCTTTCTTGGGGCATTGAGATAGAAGTCATAATGCTTTAAAGCAGGGGTCTCCAACCTTGGCCACTTTAAGCCTGGAGGACTTCA